AAAAATACCAGTAGTTTTCCTTTTGGTTTAAAATGGCATTTTCCAAGATGCTATTAAATTATCCTCACATTAATAAATTTAAGTAGTACTTAAACATTTTAAGCTAAGTTATATTCAGATCAAGAAGAGCAATCAAATTATTTTTAATGCAATATGTATCCAGGGAAAATATTACTCGAATATGTTTAATATACATTGTAGCCAGCAGACTTCAGCCACAGTAAGAAAAGAAATAGAAGTAATGATGGACTTATTCCAAGGGTTACTGTACTTATAGGAAACCGTCTCTGTGTCTTCTGAGATATATTTTATATTAAGAATCTTAAATCCTGGAAATTTGGTCATGATATTTGTTGAAGCTATAATTTGGTGGTGAGGGTGGCAAACAGACTTTCAACTTCTTGAATCATTTAATTTTTTTCTACCTTTTTAATCCTCAGTTCACAATTTCCTCAGCAGCCATAATTCTTTGATTGGTAGAATTATTCTGTTTAAAGCATGAACACAGTGTATGTTCATAGGTAAAATTTTTAAAATATATAAATCAGAAAAAAGTGAGGTTTTAGTTACCATCTACCTCTGAAGAAAGCTAAGGTTTTATAGTACAAATGATTCAATTATTTTAAATGAATAATTAGCTACTGTCTTACATCTTACAATAGAAAAGATCAAGAAAACATACTAAAGATTTTTATTCTTTATCCCTATCCCTTTATCCATATCAGAAATTGTGGCACACAAGGCCTGTATTGTGGACAAAATTTCTCATGACAGCATTTTTTTTTTTTTTTTAACTGAGCAGAATTCTAGCCTTAGCAGTTACAATTCCATTACCTGAAGAGTGTCTGGTCTTCTGGTTTGGTAGGTATAGGACAATTGGTACATGACAGAATTAAAAATATTTAAGTGTTAAAACAACTGCACAAAATTAATTACAGTGCTTCAGGACTCTAATATATCTAATAAGAGGGCAGCCCTTATTAAGGGGCACCCCTATGAAGCTTGGGGAAGGTTTTAGGGGTGCATCATTTGTCTATTTGATGGCTCTGTCACGAGCCCCCTTTCCCTAGACTTTGAAAATGTTTAACTCAGAAAGCTATACTTTTCAAGAAGGAAGGGAACTTAAGTGAAATATTTTCTTCAAATTTGAAACAAGAAAATATTAAAAGCTGAATTTCTACATTATTTTAAGTTATTTTGTAGCCATGTTCTCGGTTGAACTTCCTGTGGAAAAGCTTTATAAATGCATAATGTACCCAGCAAGGAAAGAGAAGGTGACAGCACTGCTTGTGTTATAGATGCTGCCTGACAATACTGCCAGCCTTTAACATGGTTTTATTTAGTTATTACAACCATCTCTCTGTAAATGACATTTAGGATTATTTAAGATTATGTTGTAATCCTTTTAATCCTTAGTGCTTTAAATTTCAGGCTAAACACCAAAGAGCAAACTAGCACTTAGCAGGAATGTTTAAAACATGTAATTTGAACATAATTCTTTTTATTCACTCCTTCCCTGATGAAGACCTAGGGTTGCTCTTAAGTTAACTAAAGAAACTTATGCCACAGTTCATTACAAATCACTTGGTCACTAAATGTTTTCTCAAGCTACATCAAACTTGTGATAGCCTTTGATAATTATGCTCTCTGCAGAATTTAACAATAGTTAGCAGCAACGGACATTTACTAATTTAACTTTTAGACTGCACCACGTGCTTTAATTATGAAGTATCTTTCTGGTTTTGTATATGTATGTAAATACTCATTCTATTTCCCAAGTCAAGCAACTAGATATGTGTGTGTGTGTGTGTGTATATATATATACATACATTTTAATGCACATTATGACATACCTATACATACTTTATTATAGAAATTAATAATATTTTTTAAAAATATTACTTGTTGTTTAGTACTAGCAATTAGGCCAAGGTCTAGAGTTTTTAAATACTAAAAGTTAATGCCACTATGATGTTTCCATTTACCAGTCAAATGAGATTGAATTCACACCAAAAGTTTGGCTACATTTTTGCCCAAGAAGGGAACTTTGCTTCTAATACAAAGAGACAATGAACAAACAAATGTCCAAACAGCATATCCAAACAAATGAGGCAAGTGACTTTTTTCCCTTCTTTTTTTGTGTCATAGTTTGTGCTTATTGCAGTCACTCACAATTTTTTGTTTGTTTCCCTATTCATTTTAAATATGACTTCTCTGCAGACAGTGTAATTACATGGCATATAAATGCTAATCCAGCAAGATTTTAAAAACAGATTTGAAATTTTAGATTATTTCTAATTTTGGTCTTCTCTGATTTTTCTCAACCTAAAAATCTAAATAGTCATTTGCTATCTGAAATCTACAATTCATAGGCTGAAATTGAACACCAAGCTTAATTCAAACTTGGAATTCTAAAGCTATTTCTGAAGTAGCACATCAGCTGAAGCTGTGATGGTCTTTTTCGGGCAGGAAGAAACACTTCATTATTCTGTAGGTAATGAAAGCCTTACGCACACGCTCAGATACCTAACAATGCCTTAATATGATGTTTTTGAGATATAATCATGTTTATTCTGATCATTTGAGAGTTAGACCAGCTAATGTATCTAATCAAATATTGATGCAAGTCATCTAGATTTAGCTCTCTGGCAAATCCTTCCCAATGCTTTTTTGTTAACAGAACTGTAAAAGCTGTTTATATTGTTCCTCTAAAAAAGGCATAGCTCAGAACATGTGTCTGTGGATATATATTACCGAATTTTACCTAAACGTATGTACCTAGATGTTGAGAAGAGTTCAGCTTAACAAAAAAGAAGTCATACGAAAAGAATGAAGCAGAAAATTAGACTTGAATCTTTCTTATTTTTTAAAAGTTCCAAGGAAGACCAATAAACAAAAGAATTAAAGAATGTATGTAAGAATGATACCATGAATTATTCAGTTGCATAACAAAGAAAAGTAACTGGCAAGATTTTGCACTCCAAAATATTACCCCTCAAAATGAGAATAATTTTTAATATCTTTAAAAGTACTTACATTCAGAAACATGAAAAATAGGCAGAAAATTAAAAGAGGAGATGTTGGTAATATTCAGAAAAGAATATGATGCTAGCCGTAATATAGGCAATTTAAATGTATACATACATATATATATATCATACTCATAATTATACATAAATATTTCAAAAACCTGTTTGCTATGTATATATTATTTAAATGTATACGTAGTCATATATATATATGACTATATACATATATATATACTCTGTGTATATTGTATATACTTGACTTTCAACCTTATTTGTGACCTAGATGAATTTTCATATGGTTCCCAGAAGAAACTACAAATGAATAGGCTATCTTCAAAAATTTCTATTGTCTAAGAATTATGTCCATAAATTTGAATTTAATGTTGTCCTTTTATGTCTTAAATTATTATGATGCAAACTCACAATACATATAATGCTAGAACATTTAGCTTATCTGATTACTTAGGTTGTCATAGAGACTATAAATATAATCTCTAAATTTTATTGTTTATGAATAAATGAGAAAAAGAGCAAGAAAATGGAGAAAAGGATGTATTACTGAACTATAGCCAGTCATTTTAAAACAAAATTTATTTCTCCTAATTTAGTCCCTAAAACTATATTCTGATTACTCCAGCGTTGGACCATTGATTTCTAAATGTGTTCAGTGGTTTGTTGGCCTGTCTTTCCCCCTCCCTCCCTCCCTCCTTCCTTCTTTTCTTCTTTTTTTAAATTTTATTTTAAAATGGGAAATAAAGATTACATATATCTTCTCAATTTCTTTCTTGGTTAAAAAAATTTTAAGTAGACTAAAACTTCAACCAGAAACATTTTATTTTAGAATATTTAAAATGTTTTAATCTGGATGGACTCAAATTACTTGGATATACCCAAATTAGCACCTGGGAAAATAACCCACAGTGGAAAGTAGATCTTTTCCCTCCAGTGAGAGTAGGTAGGGAACGTCAGCAACCTATTCCACTATAAGATTCAATATATTAATTGCAACATAGCATGTAAGAACAGAAGAATTGACTTTATTGAAGGGCACAAAGGCTCTGAAAAAGTATTTAATGTAAGAAGTTCTAATAATCTGGCTCCCTTGGCTAACCGACGACATTAATTATAAATAAATCTATCTATATATATATGTTTATAATTCTTATTTAAATTACTACATGTTTGCAGTACATAGTAATTATATTCATCATGGGGAGTTGCTACATATGCATAATAATACAAACCTATATAATTATTGATTAATTTGGAAATCTGATGACAGATAAATTTCATCTAAAAATATATTCATCTCTACACTCTAAAATTATTAATCGCCATTAGAAATCATGCCAAATTATCTGATTTTGTTAATATCATGTGAGAAATGTTAAATTTTATAATTTTTCTCTCTTAAGGATTTCATCTAGTGCATTGCAATAAATATGGTTATTTATTCATCAGGATTTTTTTCTCAAAATTTAAAGCACTGACCATAAAATGATTTGATTTTTTATAGCTGTTCAGTTTTCTCTTTCCTCTTTACTCATACTGGTAAATATAATTAATAACTAAAAATTAGGAAGGGTAATGTTTGAAAGTAACTTATAATTAATGAGTGTTAACTTGTGTATGTTTGAAAATTATAAATTAAATCTATTTAAATAAAGTGTCCTAGGTTAGAACTCCAAACAGCTCACAGATACACTGCAACATTTAATGTCTTGTATAAAACTTATTAAGATGCAACATATATTTTGTGTTTAGATACCAACAAGTCACCATGGAAAAACAACAAAACAAACCAAAGATTCAACAAGGAAGAGGAGTCAGACTTTCATAATGACCTTCAGACAACTAGTTCATGCACATGAAAACATCACAAGAAGGTAGTCTATTTTGATTACCCAAGAGAGCTCAGATTTAGAGGGAAAAGGAATAAATTGAATATATATCTATATATAACATTCTTACCTGAAAGACATTCTTTCTGCTTGATTTTTCCTTGGTCCATTCAATATGTGCTCCACACAAATCTACACTTTCTGGTTTGTGCCCAGTTTTCTGTAAACAAAAAAAGAAATATGAACAAAAAGCACACATCATTGAAGATGCATGTCAGAGTTTATTGAGTTAGAACCTATACATATTTATGATAAAATGCCTATCTCTTTTTTTTTCTTCCAAAGGAAACCTAATTTGTAAGGCTTTTTATTTGGAAATTCATAATTTTAATGCTCTAAAGTTAGAAGTCTATTTTAAAAAGTATTTCATTAATTTTAGATATGAAAAAATATTTAAAATGTTGATATTTTGAGACAAAGCTAATTAGTAATCCTAGGATATAGACTATTTTTACATGTGTTTTTCCTTAATGTAAAATTTTGGTATTCAGTGAATATTGTATACTAAAGGCATCTTAAGTCATGCAAGTATTAGACCCAATAGCTAGAGAAATGTAATTAATAAATAGTAATATAATGGAAAAATTGTTACACATATCTAGTTACCTTTGAGACTTTAGCATACTTAGAATTTGTCTGTCATCTTAAAAAAATGAGCAGGTAGATTATTTAATCTCAAAGTCTCCTCCAAATCTGTATTTCATAGGTTAACAAATTCATTAAGTAATAAGTATCAACTATATGCCTTTTAGAAACTTTCCATTCAGACTTTGAGGACCTGAGCTGAGAGTGTAGTAGTAATAGTTTTGAATAAGCCAGAAATCTCTTTTCAAAAGTAATTTATGACGTTTTTAGTTTTCAGCAACTCAATAATTGAAAAAAAAAATTTTGAAAATATAATATTCAAGCCAAATATAAATTCATCTGGCACAATATTTGTGGATAACATGCATTTCTTTTCTTATTTAACAGGAGTCTCACATGAGATCCATGAAGGTAAGCTGTTTCTTAAAAATACTTCAGTAGAGGAAGATTTTTACCAGTTTACTCATGCAATGCTATCGCCGTGATCATTCCTCTCAAAGATATCAGAGGAAAATAATCATGTTCATTTTCATGTGATTTGTGATGAAAAATTACTAAAAATAGCTACTTTTATATAGTAAATTATAGGATATTCAGAATCAACAAAAATAATCATTCAGACTATATAACAGAGCTTGTCTTTCCTATCTGATGCAGTCAGGAGGAAAAGGTAGAAATGTTTTATATAAGAAGCACTTTGTATACACTAAATATTTCCCTGAGTGCTTCAAAACTGTGGATTCATTTAATTTTTTAATAGTAAAAGGTAATTCTTCTCATTATCACCATATTATAGGTGAGAAATCATCCCAGAATACTTCTTATATGGTTGAACCTTCCCAGGTAATTAGGCACAAAGGGAAGTGAACAAATTTAAATGTAAGCAGGGTCACTCAAAGTTTATTACTAACCAGTAGACAGTCCCTGAAAATTGAGTACATAGTCTAATCATACTCATGCTAAAGACGATTTGGTTTCTCCTTTCTCTGCACTCCAGGGCAGATACATTGATGCTTTTGTCCTCTGCTCTATTTGATCTTGCCTGCTTACCTGGACTACCTCCCAATCTTTACATGATGGCTCCTGTCCATCAGCTCTTAGATATAAAAAAAAAAAAAAAAAAAAAAAAAAAAAAAAAAAGAGCTATGACGTAGCACTCCTGGTTCTCTCTACCCCACTTCCTTTAACTAACTGAAATTAACATATATATTTTTGCATACCGTTTACATTTCCCTCACTAGAATTAAGCTCCCTGAGCTAGGGCCTTGTTTGCCTTTCCTTCCACTGTTTTTCCCAATGCATGGAACACTGCCTGGTATATACTTGTTGTTCAATGAATATTTGCTGAATTCATGAATGAAGAAAAAAATATCAAAATTCAATGAGCTTTTGTGCTTTGGAAGGAATGCTTGGATGTCTTAAAATTCCCAATTTTACAGCAATTAAGATTTGTATTTTTTAGAGTTAAGCAGTCTTCTTTTGTTTGGGATTTGGAATATGAAACATGGCTTAATAGATTCATGTACAGACTGAATGCAGGATTTCACGGTATCGTTCAACAGACACTTAGGGCATATTTTTATATGTCAATGATCTAGCCACTTTTTAGCCTAGCACTGGGACTCCAGATAAGGAAATACTGACTCTTCTTTTAAGAATTCCTTATTTTACCTGTTGTTTTGGTGCATATGTGTAATTCTAGCCACTGGGAAGCTGAGACAAGGATATTAAGAGTTCAATCCCAGCCTAGGCAATTGAAAGGATTTAGTGAAAAACAAAAAGGGGGTGGGGTGGGATGTATTTCAGTGCAAAAGGCTCTGGTTTCAAACCCCAGTATGCAAAAAGAAAAAGAAAAATTAAAGAAGAACAGAGGAACATGCTGAATAGTGCCAGTCTGGAAAGTCATGTTTGAGTCCAAATCATCCCAGACTCATAAAGAAATGTCCATGTTGGCCTACATTTGTACACAATTGTGTATAGATTTTATATGCTGTAAAGCTAGAGGAACCAACCCTATAGGTAAAATAAAACGTAATGTAAGCTTGCATAGTTTTCTCCTCATCTGGCTGTGGCAATTGATAAAAACTTTCATCAGCATCACAAGCCCAATACCATGGCCAGGCACTTAGCTCCAGTTGATTCCAATCCACATTTTCTTCCCTCAAGCTCAGCCATCTCATAGTGCTTGTTCCTGTGCCCTCACCTTCTCTCTTTCTCTCTTGGCAACCTCACTCCTTTACCTCTGCCCCAATGCAATGCAGCATTTCATTATGCTTTTAATCCATGAATCCCACTTTCTGTCCTGACTCCTATTCTGTTCTTTGTTTGCTTATGATTTTTTTTTTTAAACTTCTGTGTAGTATTGCAAACTTTCAGGCCCTGCCTGGCTTCATTCCCTTTTATATTCAAGCCTAAGTCACTGATGTAACAGTCACATCAACCACTCACTCTGTCCTCCCTTCCTCCGGTGATGGATCTCTCATTACTTCTCCTTCCAATAGCCTTCCTCATATCTTCTGCTTCTGGTAAAATAACTTTTGACTTCTCAGGGAAGTATTACAAATACTAGTTATCTTCTTTACTGGCCTTCCACTCTACTTAGCACATTTTGGCATTCCTAGTCACTTTGTATTGAAAGCTATCGCCCAAAGTCTATTCCTTCCAAGTCTGGCCCATCCAAATGTTTGTACCTACAGTACAAGGATCAAAGCACTAGCTAGATATTCTTGAGTCTTCCCACTTTCATAGTTGTGTACTCCAAATGAATAAACAAACATAACCTTTAGTGAATACTTCCTATATGCCTCGCCCTCTGAAAGCTTTATACTCAATTTCTGTCTATTCCTTACAACACTTCTGTGGAGTTATTACTATCGCCTTCAACTTACAAGTGAAGACACTGAAACAAGAAATGGCCACACATTTAGTACATAGTTAAACTGAGATATGAATTTATGTTATGTGACTCCAAGTCCAAAGTTCTTGATCACAACACAATGAACAACTTCTTCATATTCATCTTTTCTTTCCACTAATTCACAAACAGAGCTAACTCCTTTTTAGGTCCATGAACAAGATTTCATATTTTCTGTTTCTTCCCTGTAAATGTCACCATTTCCTACTGTCTCTTCTTGTTCCAGAACTCTAGACCTAGTTCTAGGCACACAGGAGTGACCTCTATAAGAACTGAAATCACGTTCTTTCCAAACTTACCCACTTTTCCCTATTGCTAATCTTTTAAAGTCATCTCTTCACCCAGTTCATCTGTAAATTTCTTAGTGCTTCCCACCCATTCCCTCACCACTGAAAACCAAAGTACAAAGCCCCATTTCCACGACTAGCTCTACCTTCTCCATTCTGTGACCGACCCTTATCTGAGCCCTTAGTTTCTTTCACCTGAGTTTTTCTAGCTCTGGCTTCTCTGTGCTTTCAATTTATCCTTTTTTACTTTATTTCCACTAAAATAAAAAACCTCACATTATTTCTTCTGGAAAAGCTATTATCTATAGGATTATATCCAAATTCCCAGAAAAGTATCCAAGTTTGACTTCATAACTCGGTGCCTATTCTTCTCTGGTCCATTCATCCTGCCATTCTATTATGCCACATCCGTGACAGTAAACAAAATGAAGCATGTGTTCCTAACACTTGTGAATCATTAAAGAGTGTATAAGCTGGATGGATAATTATGAGAAAAATACCCAGATTAATTCCAGTGAATTAATAAATAAAAACAAATAATTCATTACAGAATGATAGCTTAGAAAAAGAGAAATTTATAGAAATGCATGACACACTATCCATTTATCTTGACTTTAAGAACTGATCTAATGGCATAATTGAAGCAAATAATAAAGGTCCTAGGTGAATTTAGAAGTGTGACCTAAAAACTAAAGATATTAGCATAAAGTTGAAGCAAGTAAATTTATTAGCTTCAAAAAGAGAAAACTTATATAAATATGGTAGAAGACTGCATAAAACTGATCCTAAGCAGTACTTCATTTTCACAGAGCAACAATAGAAGACATAGGCTGAAGAAATAACTTTAGGGACTAGAGATCATTTGAAGACAAAAGTTTTTCAGTATTTTACTGTTAAACATGGAAACAAGTAATTCAGAAAAGTTGTAGAATTTATTTGGAAGACAATCAAGATTTTGTTCAAGAAGCCGGAAGTTAAAGAACTCTTTAATAGAAAACATATTTTTGATTCTATAGCTGTAAAACACAAGGCAAAAAGTCTGCTAATGATCTGCACGATGCCAGTAGATCATATTTTACATCATTATAAAACGAAACTTTTAAAAATTTGACTAAATATGGATTTAAATTGAAGAACGTATGTATCATATCTTTTCTGGGATAAACTTAAAATAGAAATGACTGAATTTTTAAGCATTTAAAGAGAATTATTTAAGAGTTATTGCTTTTCGAAAATAAAACATAGAACCTTCTTTGTTGCAGCAATGTGAAGTCATTAAAAACTGTTTGGAGGTCTTAACTACTTCTGTTATTATTATTCCCTTAGTTCATCATTTCCCAATAATAGTTGTCAGATGATTTTCTATATATTATT